TGTAAGGTACTTTTCATATGGAAAAAAGTATAAAATGGACTATAGAATTGAACAGCTAATCTCATATGATAGAATTTTAAACGAGCATGTATTTTATATGTCCATATACTGTTCATCTGCTCAGAGTAAACACAAAGGTTAACAGTTCACATGTGTAACATTCTGTTGGCCATTTGGTCATTATTACTAAAGAGCATGTTTCCACTGTTGTACATTTGTTAGACTGTCAGTTACTGTCAACAAGCCATAATGGTGGAGAATCAATACAACCTAGTTAAAAATAACTTTCATGAGGGGAAAAAACCTTTTATCTAGAATCAATGAGCATTAGCTATTCTGGACATATGAGAAAGCTGAGAGCTGAAGGTTGGGTGGGTGAAGACGGTAGTGGTTGGTGAGGGTGTCGGAATGTCTCCTGACCCCTTTTCTGCGTCTGAGTGTGGCACTGTTCTTCTTCTTTGGTCAGCAGCCTTCTCCTCAGACATACATGTACTGCTTCTCTTTGCCACACATGACACTTCTCTGTATTTCCTAGATTCTAAAGTACACATTTTCTCACACTTGACATATCTAAAATAATTATATCTTTTAAAACAGGTGTCAACAGTTGTTTTATAATAGGTGTGCACATTTAAGGATCTTTTTCTTTTTTCCCTAATCTTATACTTCTTAGTATCCCAAATTTTTTTTTATTTTTTTATTTTTAATTTATTTACTTTTTAAATACATTTGTCTCTGCCTCCCCCCCCATCAAATTTTTAAAAAATGAGATATTTACTAATACTGCTGCTAAAGGGGCATTATATCTAACCCAAGTTTTATTGTTCAAAAAAAGTAGGTACTATAAAATCTAATTGAAATTATACATTCCTTAAGCACACACTTTAAATATCATAATTAAATGCCCAAGCCACTAGAGTAAAGACTATTTTGTCTTTCATCAAAGAAATATTTTTATTTCATAGTTTCTACCTGGAAGGTACTTGCACCATTTTCAGGGCTGACTTTAACATTTAAATACAGCGATTAAATTTGTACCTGTGGTATTACATGTATATGTAAGCTGTCTGGAAGTCTAAATATGACTTGAATAGTTGGGCATATTCTGGATGCTTCAAGGGAAATTTCTTAAAGTCCTTGTATGAAACGCACTCTGAGCTCCATTCTAGCTATTCCCTGAAAGCATCTGGAAACATCAAGATCTGGCACTCCAAAAGCTTCCTGAGATATAGTAGCTAACTCCTGTTGTGAAACCATCCTCATCAAGATTAAAAAGCATAAAAGATATTTGCAGAATCTTTTCAGTGTTGGCAGGATTGTATAGAACAGTCAGACCTATCACGTACTCTTTGAAATCTATGCTGCCATCATTATTCCTGTCAAAAAGGGCAAAAAGTTGTCTCAAGTGTCCCAAAATTGGGAGTTTTATTTAATTTTAAAATTCTTCAATTCCTGTCTTCCCTCCTTTTGTGGCAACTGCGATTGCATCATATTCACCCAAATGCTGATGAATATTATTCCAATCTAACTTCAATTTCTGGTTAATTTTTGTAAATTCCACCAAATCAGCTTCCTCGGGTAGTTGAGGTTACCTGTGGTAGTCATCAGTCTGCAGTCTTCATAAGTGTGGTCTGTCACAGGCACCTCCGGGACATTTGCCATATTGATCCTCATTGTATTGGCACAAAGGATGGGGTCTTTTTTTCTTGATCATTTGGGGTGTAAACAGGCATAAATTCTACTTCTACCCTGGTAAGGAGTTGACTCAAGGTCAACATACATGCCTGGAAGCCTGTAAACCCCTGCCAGGTCCTGGTCACTGTGTCCAAGGTGTTTGGGTACCTGAGCAGCACTGGTTGCACAGGGACACCTCAAGAAAAGCCCCTCAGTGTAAAAGTGACCAGACACATGTGATTGGTACACACTCCTTCTGGAAAAATCAGGATCTGTGGCCACTTCATTTTGGATGTCACTTGCTTCACGATTTCATCCTGGGTAGTCTTCCTGGAATTGGGGTGCTCTGTAGTCACAAGCACCAGCTGTGTTGATAGCAGGGGTTTCCCAGCCACTGGGATCTGTGTGTTTTGACTTGCTGAGACCACTAAGGGTAACCCTGCCATGACACACATGATGGCGTTAAAGAAAGTGGAGTGCAGTGCCCTGTGAAGGTGGGGGTCTCATCTCAGGTAACCTCTTTCCCCTTCATTTTAACCAGGAATCCTGCTACAAAGAAGGCTACCTGAAACAATAATCTGAAGGCTGGTTTCACCAGTTTTCTTCTCCAGCTCTTGCAGGCTTGGCTGGGTGAGCAGAATGGCATATGATGAACAGCATGGCCATGGGCCAGAGGACAGCGATGCAGGGAGGACACCTGCACGGGCACCAGCACAGTGCCCCTGAAGATGATGCAGGCCCAGCACCACACGCTGATGTGTTTCTGCTGCACCAAAGGGTTGGCCACTGCTGGGGGAACGAGGACTTGCTCCTTCCCAGGTGAGGGCAGACTCCCACAGCCTCAACTCCCAGTCCTAGGACGGCTGGGCCATGAGACTGACTCTTCACCTGTCTTAGGATGCCGGTAGCTGGGATCAGGGGTCAGCCCTCAGAGCCCACTCCTTCCCGTGGTGGTCTTTCTATTTGCACATAATTAGAACTTAGAGGCAATTGTGTGTTAATAAGAAATGATGTATTACCTTTAAAATTTGAAATACTAAAAATGGTAAATGATGCAGCAGGAGAATTAGAATCATCAACAGTACAATCTTTTTTGCTTTTGTAAATGTCTTCTTTTTGATATATATGCTTAATAAATTATTTTCATATAGCAATTTCTAACGTTTATATTGAGCATATAGTATATAGCTACTAGGGCTATATTAATTTAAATATATGAATATTAATGACTTTTTAAATTTAAATACCATTATTATTACAGTGCACTTACTGTGAGATGCTTTGGCAGCTGGTAAATCAAATTCATTTTCTCTCCCTACAAATTGATTTCTACAGAGACAATAATATCACTTTATGCCAAGAGGTTTAACTGATGGCACTCTTGAGCCTTTATATCTGTCACAAACACTCTTCTACATCCATTGAGAATTAGAACATACCCATTTTCATAAGCCAGAATCAGCCGTGGCATGATTGATTCACATTCTTAAAATTAGTCCACATGAACAAGTCAGCATTCCAAACTGACATAAGTAACATAAAAACCTTAAGATCACCTTTGTCAGTGACAGTTTTTCATTAAAATAAGTCAGGATTAGTTCATTGTGCCAACACACACAGTCAACAAACTCTGTCCCTTCCTTTTATTGCTGTCCTTTGGAAGTGATCAAGAGGGAAGCATAATCTAAGTTGTGTGAACCAGGAGCTCCTCTATATTTTGTAGCATTTGCAACTCTGACAGTGCTATTGAATATTCCTGCATTTGCTAATTGATCATTTAAATCCCTTTTCTCAGAATTAAAAGTCAAATTGAAGGTTTCTGAGAGATGTTTCTATTTCTTGGAGCACAGCAGTTTAGCAATAAACAGGAAGAGCAGTGTGGATTCCAGAGCCAGTTAAACAGAATACGATCTCTGTGTAAAGATTATGGTCTTTACACCAGATGGATCTAGGTCAGATCCTGGTTCCAACACTTAACACTGTGGGCATTGGCCAGCCTCATTTTTACATCTGTAATCTGGTGATTCTTCCTACCTTGCAATGTTGTTATGAGGCACAAGTATAATGTATATAGAAAGTTGGGCTTTTATTAGTAAACACAAGCTGCTGGAATACAATGATAAGAATTCTCAGGGACATTTCCCTTTCTTCTGTCACTATCAGAAGGATATTCAGTGAGGGAAACATTCCTTCCACCAAGGAAACACAGTTGTACTCTAAAGGAGCCATGATTTGGCAATGTTACTGGTGTCTCCCTTGCCAAGGAAAGCAACCCAAGGGAATGAGTAGTCTCTTGAGCTGGTATTGTTCTCAATTCTATAACTCTTCCCACTGTTATGTGTATGTTCATTACTATTCTTGAGCCCTGTTTAACTGCATTCTGTGTATGCTTCTTAAGGGAAAGTTCTATATGACCATGTCATCTTTCCATTATATTTCTCCCACAGTGCTTAGCAGTGCATCAGATATATTATTGATTTATTTATTAGGCAAAAGTTGAATCCCTACAATGAGCCAGTCCCTTTTTCTAGATGCTGGGTATAAGTCAGTTAATACAACAATAAAAAGTCTCTGCCCTGTGGAGCTTGGACTCTAGCGCACATAGGAAGTATGGTATTCAATTCCTGTTGCACTGACTGGGGCAAAAGGACATTTTGATTCTTTTCCTAAATCTCTCACCAACTTAGCTGGAGAATTGAGGCAAGTAATCTAATAATGGATATGCTTCTGTAATTTGCAATGTTTAAAAAAAATATGTATACATGAGCATCTTCACATCATCTCTGTTAATCTTCCCACTATAAGTAGTACTTATGGCCTATTTAAGAGTGCATATTCACCTAGCCGTATTTGGCTTCAAACCAATTAATATACTATATATCCAAGAGATTTGATAATAGAATTTTTAATGGTTAAAAATAGTTAAAAGAACTTTTAACCAATAAATGAAAATTTATACCATTGCAGGTTTGCCTTTTAATATGGCTAATCTTTAATATACATATGTAAAAGGCACTATATGATAACAGGGTAAAGAGTGCAAGAAACCAAAACTGAACCACTTTCCCCAACTTCCTTTTTGTACAAGTGTATACATTTTAAGGCAGGTGATTTTCTGAGTGAAATACAACAGAAGAAAATCAACATTATGTTACAAGTTCACACGCATTCTCAGGCTGTTTTTTCAGCAACATTTGTCAGAACATTTATTTATAATAAAGCACATTAAGACAATTTTTTCCTAGTGAAGCTTAAAGAAGTTGATGAACAATTTAAAAAAATTATTGAGATTTTATTACAGACCTCTCATAGAAGATATAGAAAAGTCAATCTTTTTTTCTTGTTTCTTCTTTTAGAAATGTCCATATCAATTTGTTCACTATGTCAGGTTGTTCTTGCTGAAGCCAATGACTGGCTTCTGACAAAATAGTTAGCCTGAAATAGTTTTTAACATAAATCTTTGTGACTTCAGCCATCTCAACCTCCATAAATGCGTCTTTCTCTCCCCACAGTAGTAGTGTTGGAGTGGTCACCATGTGATGTTTGAGAGGCAGGCAGCTATAAAAACAAAACATGTGGGCTTGAGACTCATTCTGAAAGTTACAATGACATTTTTTCATAATGTTTATTTAAGCCACACATTCTCAGAGAGGGCAATATCTCCATGAAAGGTGTAAATTGGTTCTTGTGAGAGTGAAAAAACATCTTACTCTCTCTATATATAAACTATAGATATATATGTCGTACATAAGCAAATATTACAATTTCATGTAGTGGGGGCAATTAGGGAAAAATGTCGACAAAACCTCCTTAGAGAGGTGATGGTGAAAAAATGGTTGAGAAACACTGCTTTAGGCAATCGATCCATACAATAAAATATTTAAAGAGCTATTTAAGAAAGAGCCCAATAAAATTTTTAATCGGATGAGGCTAGCAAAATTTATGAGACCTATAAATTAAATATGAAATTCATCACTATGAGGAATAATTTGCTTTAAGAGGATACCAGATTTTCTCAGTGGTGTGATGCAACAGAGCTTTAAACAGTGTTATTGTTTAAATGCATTTTAAATTGTTTGTTAGATAATCTAATGTATTTTGTGTGAAAATTGGAACTGGAAAGTAGAAAATACATATGGGCTGAGATTTAATACTCCATGACACTATATTTATTTTGCAAGAGGAATCTTTTTAAAACGAAGTTTTATTGTATATTTTCTTAAATACAGAAAAATATAAAGAATAAAATCATGCATAATTCCATCATTAAAAGATAACTTTCTGTCATTTTTCTATGCATATATTTAAAACCATACTATAAATACAATGCAATACACAGTATACATATGCAAATTTCATATTAAATTGTTTTCAGTGATAATATAATGAGCATTTTGTGCACAAATTTTTGCTGGCATTTCAGACCATTTCTTTGGGTAGCCCTGAAAATGGCATTCCTGAAGGAGCGAGTATAAATATTTTTAAAGCTTTGACGCCTTCTGCTACACTATTTTTCAGAAAGGTGGGATGGTATTAATTATACTCCTGTTGATAAGAATGAGAATGAACATCTAAGTAGACACTCCAGCACTGACTTACATCTTCACTGCTTTCAAAAAGTTTGACTTGTGACTAACTTGGGATTGATAGATGCTGCTGGAATGTGCAGGATACCACCTATTTCCAAGGACTTACCTTTGACTCCCATGTTAGTGGCCATCATTTGGTTGTAATGCTCCTAAAAATTCTTTGTGAATGGCTAAACTGATAGAAAAATATATTCTATACTTAATTATTAACACATGAATTACTATACAAACTTGCAAGCCACTTAAATTCTAGAGCTCATAAGATGTTCAAAGGTAAAACATTTTTTAACAATTGTCTGCATATTTAACAATATCTGAGCATGTTATAATTGAATCAGTAAGACAAGAGTTTAAAAAGGCTATTAGTTAAAAATACATTCTTCACCAGATCAAATTGAAATAAAAGGGAGGAGTCTCGAGAAAACAAAAAGAAACATGTATTTTCTGGTCCTGAGGTTTCAAATTGCTAAACTTCACATGAAATGTAAGTTCCATGTAAAACAAAGTATGTATAGACAGTTAACAATACTGTACTGCATATTAGAAAGTTGCTAAGAGAGTAGGTCTTGAAAGTTCTCATCACATGAAAACTAAATTTTATAACTCTGTATGGTGATGAATGTTAACTATTTATTGTGGCAATCATTTTGCAATATATAGAAATAGCAAATCATTTTGTTGTATATCAAAAACCAATATAATGTTATTTGTCAGTTATATCAATAAAAATAAGTAATAAAATAAAGTAAAATATTGCATATTTTAATAGCATAGATATTAGTATGTTAAATTAAAGAACATATTGGGAAACATGATAAAAATTTCTGATTAAAAATGATTAATCTTATTAAGTATAAAAACAATTTGAGAGACCTACAAAACTGTAAACAAGTAGTAACAATTATTGCTACATATTGTTAATCATTTAACCTGTAAAAATGTATTTTAACATACTTGTTTCAAATTAGTCTGAATTTAACATATTATTCCTCCAAAGTCTGAGTAATCAGCTGATTTGTCAGTATTGAGGCAGTATTTTCCAGAGTGTTATATACTCCATCATTACTTTTATATGTGGAAATATTTCATTACTTTGATTAAAAAGAAAATGTAGAAAATTATATGACCCACCACTCAGCTCAAGAAATAAAACACTGAAAATATAATTACATCTTTCTGCTTACCTTTCCTTGATACCATTTCTTTTCTTCATCTCATCCTAAGGCAGTGGTTCTCAAAGTGTGGTCACCAGACTAACACCATTAGCATCAACTGTGATCATGTCTGAAATGCGAGTTCTTGGGCCCCATCCCAGATCAACTGAATCGGAAACTCTAAGGGCAGGTTGAGCCATTTATGATTTAACATGCCCTCCAGGTGATTCTGATACAAGCTAGAATGAGGAACCACTACCTTAGGAGTAATGACTAGGTTGAATTTGGTTTTTAAAATCTCCATGAATATTTTTGAACTTTTATGTGTTAGCATATTTCTATCCCATTCCTCTGGTTCCTTAAGTAGAGGTTTTCCTCAAACCCTCCTGGGTCTTTGCCCTACCCTTTTTTTTTTTTTTTTTTTTTTACCAAAAGAGGTTTTATTGAATTCTACTGGTCATTAACACCTATAACATTTAAAAAATGGATGTAGGAAAGATAAGAAACAAAGGTAGATTTATCATAATTGTTAAAAAAAAAACTAGGCGCAAAGTATTTATGAAAAGATTAGTCTCATTTTGACGTAGGAGGACATTTCCTGGAGAGGCAGATACAGTGTAGTTGAAGATGTACAGTTCTACTAGAAAAAGGAGATGTGATAATTGGAGATAAAAGAAGATAAAGCCAAGACGTAGAAGACAGGTCCTTGCCCTACCCTTGATTGGTGAGGGACAATTGTTGGTTTGGGGTTCTGGGCTAGATGGCTCTATCAAATAATATGTCCTGAGGGTAAGAGCTTTAACTTCTTTCTCCTTTCCTCTCTACCTGATTGGTTGGAGGCAGTGACTTTAGGGCAGGGGAGGTCAAGTTCGCTCTACAAACTTTCCTACAGGCAAACTGCCCTAACGTCTATACTGGTAGTAGGGAGTTGGCAGGACCATTTCAGTTCTCATATGAAGCTATAGCCTTCAACCTACCCTTGGTCAGTAATGAAGGTGATATTTTGGTTTTCATCTAGTAACTCACTTGATTTCTCAACTAGTTCAGAAATTGAGCAGGAAAAGAAGGTGCTTTTTGTCATATCGCCCAAATACAGTATATATATTTCTGTAAACAATATATGGCAGTGTTTTGCGTTTTTAAAACTTGATTATATAGTATATTGCTTATATCCTTCCACAACTTGCTTTTGTGCCCCAATGTTATATTTTTAAGATTTATCCATTGATGATACATGTAGCTCTTCATTTTCACTCTTGTGTAAAATTCCATCATATTATTGTACCACAACTGATCTACTCTTCTGTTAATGGACATTTAAAATTTTCCAGTTATTTCAATATGGAACTCATTCCTGTACATGTCCACTTGTGTGCATGTGGAAAGTTTCCTTACAGTATATTCCAGAAACAGAATTGCTTCCTCAGAGAGTGTGCACATCTTCAACCTTACTTGATATTGTCAAGTTGTTTTCCAAACTGATTGTATGCTCCACTAGCAGCATATGAGAGAGAGTTCCCTTTGCTCCACATCATTGCCAACACTTGTTCTCAAAAGTGTAATTTTTTTTCCAATCAAATGAGTGTGAAATACTCTTTGTTTACCTGATGTGGTAGAGACTGCTCCCCCAAACTTTTTCCCTTCCACTATAGTGATAGAAAATCCAATTTTTAGCTGGACAAAGGGCCACCCAGAATAAAGATTGACTATGTTCACCAGGCTTCTTGCAGCAAGGTGAGGATATGTGGTTTATAAGAAATAATGTGTGCAACTTCTAAGTTGAGTCCAGTTGCCCCTCCTCCTTCTCTTTTCCTGAATTCTACTGCCCAAAATGCAGATGTGATGGTAAACTATCGTGGACCACATAGACAAGGCCAACGCCATAGGAATGGCAGAGTAGCAAGACAGAAAGTGCCTAATCTCTCACCAAAGAATGACATAACAACTTTGATGATTTTATGGAGCACAGCCACCATAACAGAATAGACTTTCACTTGGGAGACAAATAAATTTCTTTTTTTTAATGCCACTATTACTTTAGCTCTCTATCACAAGCAGTAAAAACTATGTTCTACATCTGACTACTAGTAAGGTTGAACATCTTTCATGTTACTGACCATTAGATTCCTCTTCTGTGAATTACCTTTTATTGTCTTTTACCCATTTTTTGATTGGGCTTCCTTTGTCTTATTGATATGGAGGCATTCTTTATAAACTCTAGATATTATTAATTCATGATTAATTATGCATTGCAAATAACTCCTCCCTTTCTGAGGCTGCTTCATTTTATGATATTTTTTGACATATAGATCTTTTTAATTTTAATGCTGTCAAATTCATCAGTCTCCTTCATAATTTGAGCAGTTTGTGTCTTATTAAAAAAATCTTTCCTACCTGAGGTCATGAATGTTTTCTCTTGATATTGTTTTTTTGAAAAAAATTTACTTACTGATTTTTTAGAGAAAGAAGAAGGGGGAAGGGACAGTGGAGAGGGAGGGAGGGAGGGGGAGAGAGAGAGGGAAGCACTGATTTGTTGTTTCACTTATTGATGCATTCATTGGTTGATTCTTTTGACAGGCGATTGAACCTGCAAACTTGGCATATTGGGATGATGCTCTAACCAACTGAGCAACTCAGACAGACCTGCTCAGAGCAGCTCTGATATTATCTTCTAAACATTCAAAATTTTGCTTATATATTCAGTTTTTAAATATTCTTTAAGCTTATTTTGTTTGGTAAATGACTGGGATCTAATTTCATTTTAATCTATTTGGATATCCAATTATTTCAACAAAATGTATTGAAACTTTTCACC